AACCAGATGAAAATCTCAAATTCATCATATCAGAAAATTAGAATATTGTGAAAAGGTTCAAAATTGATGGCCCCTGGTGCCACACTCTAATCAGCTAATTAACTCAAACCACCTGCAAAAGCCTTTAAATGGTCTTTCAGTCTAGTTCTATAGGCTACACAATCATGGGGAAGACTGCTGACTTGACAGTTGTCCAAAAGACGACCATCGACACCTTGCACAAGGAGGGCAAGACACAAAAGGTCATCGCTAAAGAGGCTGGCTGTTCACAGAGCTCAGTGTCCAAGCACATTAATAGAGAGGCGAAGGGAAGGAAAAGATGTGGTCGAAAAAAGTGTACAAGCAAGAGAGATAACCGCACCCTGGAGAGGATTGTGAAACAAAACCCATTCAAAAATGTGGGGGAGATTCACAAAGAGTGGACTGCAGCTGGAGTGAGTGCTTCAAGAACCACCACACACAGACGTATGAAAGACATGGGTTTCTGCTGTCGCATTCCTTGTGTCAAGCCACTCTTGAACCACAGACAGCGTCAGAAGCGTCTTGCCTGGGCTAAAGAGAAACAGGACTGGACTGCTGGTGAGTGGTCCAAAGTCATGTTCTCTGATGAAAGTAAATTTTGCATTTCCTTTGGAAATCAAGGTCCCAGAGTCTGGAGGAAAAGAAGAGAGGCACTTCATCCACGTTGCTTGAAGTCCAGTGTAAAGTTTCCACAGTCAGTGATGGTTTGGGGTGCCATGTCATCTGCTGGTGTTGGTCCATTGTGTTTTCTGAGGTCCAGGGTCAACGCAGCCACATACCAGGAAGTTTTAGAGCACTTCATGCTTCCTGCAGCTGACCAACTTTTTGGAGATGCAGATTTCATTTTCCAACAGGACTTGGCACCTGCACACAGTGCCAAAGCTACCAGTACCTGGTTGAAGGACCATGGTATCCCTGTTCTTAATTGGCCAGCAAACTCTCCTGACCTTAACCCCATAGAAAATCTATGGGGTATTGTGAAGAAGAAGATGCAATACACCAGACCCAACAATTCAGAAGAGCTAAAAGCCACTATTAGAGCAACCTGGGCTATCATAACACCTGAGCAGTGCCACAGACTGATCGACTCCATGCCACGCCGCATTGCTGCAGTAATACAGGCCAAAGGAGGCCCAACTAAATACTGAGTGCTGTACATGCTCATACTTTTCATGTTCATACTTTTCAGTTGGCCAACATTTCTATAAATCCTTTGTTTTTATTGGTCTTCAGTAATATTCTAATTTTCTGATATGATGAATTTGAGATTTTCATTTGTTGTCATTTGTAATCATCAAAATTAAACAAAATAAACATCTGAAATATATGAGTTTGTATGTAATGTATGAATATAATATACAAGTTTCACTTTTTAAATGGAATTACTGAAATCAATCTACTTTTTCATGATATTCTAATTTTATGACCAGCACCTGTATATATATATATATATATATATATATATATATATATATATATATATATATATATATATATATATATATATATATATATATATATATATATATATATATATATATATATATATATATATATATCTTAAATTAAAAACGTTTATTTATATTTTTTACAATCTTAGTATAACTACTATACTTTATAACTCCTGTTAACAATTGATGGAAAAATAAATTATGATTATTTCAATAATCAATTAATCACAATTAATCTGATTAATTGTTTAAGCCCTAGTGTGAACCAGAGGGAGGGGATGCATCAGAGGCTGATTCTGCAGCTATTGGAAAAAGGATGAGGCTGCACAGTTGTCACTAGGACCTAGGTCTGAGTATATGATTTAAATATGCCTGTAGGTGGCAGATAAGGAACAAGAAGAATAAATCTGGATGCAGAAGGAGAAGACAGGCATGAGGAACCAAGTCTAATATTTGTAAAAGTAATGTTGTCAGAGGGTACCTCATTAATCCTAAAAAGAAGTGCAAGAAACTAGGTTAAATCATTGATCAATGTTAAAAATATGTAATAAAATTGAACTATAGATGGTTTTAGATTGCAATTAGTATTTTTCTGAAAAGGACAGATGAATAGAAAATAAAAACAAGACTTGTTTTATAAAATGATCCACATAAGCCTTGGCCTGAGTATAGCCAGTTAAATAGAGTTGAATGTTGTTAGAAAAGATCAGACAGTACAGACACACAGATAAAAGGTTCAACTCTTAAGTTATATTTAGATAAAAACACCTCTGAAACAACTGGGCAAGGTCAAACAATCAGAATGATGACAATTTTTTTCTTTTTTACAACACTTATCATCAGGAGGGCGTTTAATACATTTCAAATGACCATACCGTGTACAGTTATTATGGGAACTTATTGCTGGATTATGTGATTGCTAAAAATGATCTTTATTAAATAATAATTGTTAAACTGAATTAATTTAGTTTAACACAGAAACTAAATATGTATAATATTGTATATTCAATATATATAATAATATAATAAATATATGTGAATACTGTATGGATGAAGTGAATCAAAGTTGGACCCCTCTGAGGATTCTGATAGACTTCTGATGGATTATTATTTGTCTTTTTTTTTTCTTTCAGGTGTGTTTGGTTTGTGTTTAGAAAATTTGGGCTGTCCAGACTTTCATCCTTCCACCTCTTACGCTGTCAAAGGTTTTAGCTTAGCTGAATTCAAGGTCTGTACATAATATCTTAGCTGTGACAACTGCTATATTTATATTTATATATTTCTTTGTTCAAAGATTCAGCTCCCTAAAGAAGAGACAATAAAACATATTAATTTTGAACAATTGTCCTTATAACTCCTTTAACACAATCTCTACAGTCAACCGTCACAAACACACCCCTGTTTGTACTGCTCACTCATTTTAACTAGTGAGGACCATGTGTTGGCTGTCATTGACTTCCATTCATTTTCAGTGTTCAACCCTTTCTATGCCCTAACCCTTACCCAATTGACACCTTAGCCCTAAACCTAAACATTAGCACAATACCTTGTGAGGACCAGTAAAATTTACTTTCCAACAACTGGTCCTCATTGAGATGGTGAAATTGGAAAAATGGTTCTCACAGTGGTTTCTATGCAAGTGCACCCACATAAACACCCACACACAAACAACACCCATCCCCCACACACATACACAATTTAGATATATCTATAAATCAATCTATCTCTCTCTCTCTGTCTCTCACATATATATCTATATATATATCTATATATATCTATCTATATACACTCACCGGTCACTTTATTAGGTACACCTGTCCAACTGCTCGTTAACACTTAATTTCTAAGCAGCCAATCACTTGGCGGCAACTCAGTGCATTTAGGCATGTAGACATGGTCAAGACAATCTCCTGCAGTTCAAAGCGAGCATCAGTATGGGGAAGAAAGGTGATTTGAGGGACTTTGAACGTGGCATGATTGTTGGTGCCAGAAGGGCTGGTCTGAGTATTTCAGAAACTGCTGATCTACTGGGATTTTCACGCACAACCATCTCTAGGGTTTACAGAGAATGGTCCGAAAAAGAAAAAACATCCAGTGAGTGGCAGTTCTGTGGGCGGAAATGCCTTGTTGATGCCAGAGGTCAGAGGAGAATGGCCAGACTGGTTGGAGCTGATAGAAGGGCAACAGTGACTCAAATAACCACCCGTTACAACCAAGGTGGGCAGAAGAGCATCTCTGAACGCACAGTACGTTGAACTTTGAGGCAGATGGGCTACAGCAGCAGAAGACCACACCGGGTGCCACTCCTTTCAGCTAAGAACAGGAAACTGAGGCTACAATTTGCACTAGCTCATCGAAATTGGACAATAGAAGATTGGAAAAACGTTGCCTGGTCTGATGAGTCTCGATTTCTGCTGCGACATTCGGATGGTAGGGTCAGTATTTGGCGTCTCCAACATGAAAGCATGGATCCATCCTGCCTTGTATCAACGGTTCAGGCTGGTGGTGTCATGGTGTGGGGAATATTTTCTTGGCACTCTTTGGGCCCCTTGGTACCAATTGAGCATCGTTGCAACGCCACAGCCTACCTGAGTATTGTTGCTGACCATGTCCATCCCTTTATGACCACAATGTACCCAACTTCTGATGGCTACTTTCAGCAGGATAATGCGCCATGTCATAAAGCTGGAATCATCTCAGACTGGTTTCTTGAACATGACAATGAGTTCACTGTACTCAAATGGCCTCCACAGTCACCAGATCTCAATCCAATAGAGCATCTTTGGGATGTGGTGGAACGGGAGATTCGCATCATGGATGTGCAGCCGACAAATCTGCGGCAACTGTGTGATGCCATCATGTCAATATGGACCAAACTCCCTGAGGAATGCTTCCAGCACCTTGTTAAATCTATGCCACGAAGAATTGAGGCAGTTCTGAAGGCAAAAGGGGGTCCAACCCGTTACTAGCATGGGGTACCTAATAAAGTGGCCGGTGAGTGTATATATATATATATATATATATATATATATATATATATATATATATATATATATATATATATATAGATATAGATAGATAGATAGATAGATAGATAGATAGATAGATAGATAGATAGATAGATAGATAGATAGATAGATAGATAGATAGATAGATAGATAGAGAGAGAGAGAGAGAGATTTTAAAATTGGATTAAAATGGAATACGTTTAACTGGAAAAAATAAAGCATTTCTAATACCATCTAATCAAGATAATTTTCTTTTTAATCTCGTCACTAAAGCCCATTCTCACTTCTCTTTGTTGTTGATTTTTAGGCAGCACAAATGTACTGAGCTTCTTTCAATACGAAACCTAAAATAGAATCCGTCTTTGTTGATGGGAAATTCTGTTATTTCCGTCCCAGAGAGTTTGAAAGAGGGACGACTGTTTGAGATTTTAACTATTTCCGAGCTTATGTTCTGAACTTGAAAGCAGCATTGTGCAGCTGAGAGTCGGTGCAGTCAGAAATATACCAAAACAATAGTACTGTTTTTTTTTCTATAAATATTTTCTACGAGGCTGATATTTGAATATTACTGACTATAAATTTTTAGATGCCGTTAATTTTTTTAAGTCCGTATTTGTGTCGTGACCGTTTGGGTGTTGAAATGTTCGATGCGCCTCCCCAAACATTCCTCCGTTGGTTCAGTCCGTAGCTAGGCCTTTGCAGCAGGGAGTTATTTGGTGGAGCCGCAAGTTTTCCTTTACTTTACAGGTTCGTTTTATCTGGCCAAAGAATCCCAGAACCTTAGTTTTCCATCTGCTGTGACTCGTTAGGAAGCGGTTTTAGTCGGGGGACACTTGAATCACGGTGTTTCGAGGCGTGGTACACACGCACACAGCTGAAGAGGGAAGGGAGGTATCGGGGAATCTCAGCGTCCGCCGCGGAGCTTATGATGCCGACGTTGCGGGACAGCACCATGTCCCACCCCGGAGAGAATTCCCACCAAGTCCGGGTCAAAGCTTATTATAAAGGGTAAGTACTCAACTTGTCACCTGCTGTATATTCGGCAAAATTGATAAACTAAATACGGAAGTTTCACACTTGGAGGCTAATCAGTTGGCTAACGTTAGCCGTTTTGGCTAACGGATAGCTAGCGTTGGTCATCAGAGGGTTTCGGTAAACTTTGGGCAGCTGAAACTGTCCAGACGTCCTGTCAGCCTGAAGGCTGTCCCTGCGTGGAATGCCAGGAATGTATCAGCCAGACTCTGTAATATCCACGGGCTTTAATCGAGTTAAAATGTGTCTGCTTTTAAACAGTTTCAAAGCTTTAAAGCTACTGTATCATCACAGCTTGCTAACAGTTGCTAACTTTAGTTGGTAGTCCCCAGCTGAGATTGGTGTGGATTTGCCTTGTTGTTTAAGCTTTATTCGCTTCTTGTTGTTGTTTCAAGATAGCCTTTCTTAGAAAATCAAAATAAAACATAAAACGGGTCTCATAAATTATGAGTTAATGTTTTTCAAACTGAATGGACCAAAGTCGTAGTATTTTTACGGTTTTTATTTAGTGTGTGAGACGCATCATCTCATTATTTATTTTTAATTGTTCTGGTTGTCGGGAAAATTCCCTAAATATACACAATTACATGTGATGGAGTGGTGCTAACAAAAAAAATCTTGAGCCAATATTGAGTTAACTTTTACTCTTACAGCTACACCGCTGTATGTATAAATATTCATTTGCGTCAAAAAGTAGAACACTAAATAAACTTTCTATGACCTTGTAGTAGCATCACTTTCATATTTTGGTCCTAGTTTAAGTTAGTAAGATGGTAAAACCGTCAAAGAACCAGTTTCATTAGGGGAAAATGTCAAAAGAGGACTAGATATGCACTGATCCCATATTAGTATATGTATATTGTCCCGATATTTAAATTTTTTATTTTTTTTTTATCAGGTATTGGTGAAACTGATCCCGATCAACAGCGGCAGATGTAGTCAGTTTATTTATGTTATAGCTCTTTTCAGCAGCGGAAATAATTACAGTAAAAAAATACACTCTGTATGAATTGTTAAAATTACTTCATTGTTTTCAGGAGGAAATATGTCTTGTTATGACTTCCTTTTCTGACTTTAAACTAATATTAAGCTCCCTTTTGGGATATAGATGTGTACATTTACACATATAATAAAAATTGTTCGTTTGGAGGAGTTTATGACAGCCTTTTACAAAATCAGCAGTAATGATTATAACATTAAAGCCAATAGTCATCAAGTATCGGGATTAAAGGCATATAATCAGATTCAAGTTTTGGAACTGGAGGAAAAAGTGAATTGGTGAATCCCTATTATAGACATGAATCTTCTGCCATTTTGAGGTTGGAATAAATGTTAGTTATTTGACACTAAGGATGTTTGTTTTGGTACTTAATAGGGCCGAATGATGTATAAATATGCAATAATATTTGTCCAGATAACAGTATGGCTTAAGATAATTGAAGAAAAAAAAAAACTTTCAGTAGCCCTAGTTTCTAATGACTTAACTACGTCTCTCCATCATCAAGCATTTTATGCTGCATTGAATAACTAATCTCTCCAAATATATCATGGATGCAGAGGGCCTGAGTAGTTGAAGCTGAAATAAGCCAACACTTACTGATGTCCAGGTGGTTCCTCAGAATTCAAATTGTCAAATTTTGCATTAAGTTAGCGATATATTGTTCAGCCCTTGTCCTTGCAGACGGGTTGGTTGGTTTGGATCACTCACACTCATCTTCAGGCAAGTCGAACCAAAACATTAACAAGAAGCCCAGGCCATTTTCACTGTAAAGTAGTAACTGAAACATGTTATATATGAATTATATTTTTAACCCAAAAGTTTTAAGTCATGCCCCTTAAATGATGACAAATATTTTCAACTAAACTGAAAAAGGCAGAGATTGCTTATGAAATGGCATTAATGTTTTATTAGTAAGTTCACTTTTTGATGACTTTTAAATGCTGGCTGCCAGATGACTCCATCTGATATCGACAGTGATTGAAAGCTTGACAAACATGTCCTACGGGTCAGCTGGATGTCTTCTCTTCCTCTGTGGGTGTTGGACACACCTAGAAGGACTGTAATGTGTGCTGATCATTGGGAGGAATCTCAAGTATTTATGACAATGCTGATGAGGAATCTCAGCTATTTTCCAACCATGAAAGCATTATAATTGTCTCTATGTTTATCATTTTAGGTGCATTAAACAAATGGTCTTTGAAAATCTTAGTAATGTTAAAATCACATGGGCATCATGTAATGTGACAGACCAGTGAGCCGTAAACAATAACACCTCAGTCAACTGCAGAGTTCCCAGCTACTAACAGCTCAGCAGATATGCAACATCAGAAATAAATTAGATGCCATTTTGTTTTCCTTTTTTTTTTTTTTTTAAAGTTTTGTTGTGTTTTTAAGATAGGTTTTTCAATTTTTGTTAGTTGAGATTTTAAAGTTTAATCTCAGTGAAAGCAAGTAATATATCCTCCAATATATATATATATATATATATATTTTTAAGGGAAAGTTTTGAATTCTTCATTGCCAACCTTGACCTGGAATACAGATTTCAAAGGCATTTTGAAACAAGTAAATAATCATAGCTTGTTTTTGTTTTTTTAAATTCACACATATATATAAATATTCGTGTTTTAATAACTGCTAACATAAAAAAAAAGGTTTGTCAGCTTGTCAGGAAAATATTGTGTTAAGTTTCAAAAGAACAACTATTACAGGTATGAATCAGGTTTCAATGGCGTTGTTTACCGTAATCCAATTTGCGATGTTGAAATTTAGCCCTGGTTGGTTTGACCTTTTCATACATAACTCTGGGAAAGCTTTATTAATTTTAAAACAGAAGCCTAAAATTTTATGTTTTGGTTTTGTTGAATACGTAGAACTAGAGATGGTTCATATTCCTACCTAAAAACAATATAACATATTGATTAAATACATGCAATAGTGTTACATTACTTACTTTGATTGATTTAGTTGGGTTCAAGGAAATATTATTACATAAACAGCTACTAACTGAGATATTGGCTAGCTGTTGGTGGCAGTCTTTTAGCTAGGAATATTTCATAGGGTGTTAACCTTGATGTATTCCATCTTTAGGCTTTGCACGGTGTAGGGGGGTCCGGGGATATTCCGCCAATGGAAAATTTTGAAATTTAGACTCTCTGAAGTGTTATTTTCTGCATTTTGAGCTGAACAGCAGCAAGTTTTTTGTATTTGTCAAAACACTACCTTTGTCCTGATTCTGGGAAGTATCTGTACTTGACTAGAAGTGGGAATTTCATAAGGAAGAAATGAGATCATCTTTAGGTACAATATTATGTTTTATAGGCTAATGCAAACAATCCCAAAGTGTAATGTGCTTTGAGTACTTTAAGGACAGGAGAGCTTCAGGAGAATCTTTGTTGCTCCTTAAGCGCATCCAGTAAAGTGTTTTCCAGATGCGTCTGATGTTTCGGATGCTCCTGTGTTCAATGGCAGAGAGAGGCTTTGCTATATTTGCTATGATCAGTGGGTAAAAAGTATTTTTGATATATATTTGTGCAAGAAAGTCCACCTCAAAACTGCTTTAGAATATTATTTTGCTGTTGGAGCCACTCAGACCCCCACATACCGGCGGTGTGCTGTAATTGGGAATCCCCAGCAGAAGCTGCCTCTGGCCCGGTCGCCTCTGTTTTTTTTTTCTTCTTCTCCTACAAACTGAAGGCACCAGAATAATAAAAGCGAACAAATTTTGCCAGCAGGTTTCGGTATTTTAGGTTAATTTAGGCTTTAATAAACGGTTTCAGAGGAGTGATCATTGCGGCTATTAGGGCGTACCAAAGCCGTGCATCCCAAAAACAGGGAGTACAATTTCTAATATTTTTGTAAAGGGTATACAATGTACACTAAAGCCTGCTATAGGGCTGCAACAACGAATCGATAAAATCGATAAAAATCGACTTTTAAAAGCGTTGGCAACGAATTTAATCATCGATTAGTTGTGTCGCGCGATTAATGCGTCATCCGCCGCCGCCGTCAACCGGGGGAAGAAAAAAAAATATGGCGGAGCGAGTCAGCGCCGCAGTTGCAGTGTTGCCAACTCAGCGACTTTTCAGACCCCTCCAGCGACTATTTTTCAAAAAAGCGACTAGCGACAAATCTGGCGACTTTTTACGGTGTCAGTGGCGGCTTTTGCCTGCCGTGGGGCGCCTCCCCCATCCCAACGCCTTTCTCCCTCTCCCACAGGAATCCCTCTCAGCGCGGCAGTCAGAGCCGCAGGATTTTAGTGAGGAGTTTACCCTCAGCGTCCAGACTGCAAATGAAGCGCGCATGCGCCGGGATTGACGGCGCAAATTGATCACAATAATTAAAATAGCCGGCGCTTTGTAAAGTGAAAAAAGTCGTAACATGCAACTTTTGTAAAAACAAATGAACATGGCACGGAAGCACCACTGTTATGACGCAGCACCTGAAAAGAAAACACGTTGGAGCCTTCAATGGCAGTGAAGAGAGCTGATCAGCAGGGTGAGTAACCATGTTTGTTTCATTTTAAAGAGGGGAAACGTAACGTTAGTTTCTCAGGTAGCTCATCTGATGCTTTCCTTACCTTGTTAGTAGGTTACAGACAGTGATAAGGTTGGCTACTTATTTTACTTTTAATTTCATTTAAATTTGTTTAAGCAGCGTTTATATTTTCTTTATAAATAAATTAACTTGCAAATTATGAGGGCAAGGCTTTTAAAGTTTAAATCTTCTGGCAAAGATAAAGTAAAGAAGATCCTGCAATTTATGGAAGTAAAGCAGAACAAAATTCAGCAAGATCAGTAATATGTCAATTAATTATCTGCCACATTCCCATGTAAATATCTGTCTTTGGAGGATGTGTTTTTTTACCACCCCTAGTTCTCTCATTTTTATTCCAAATACAATTTATAATTTGAATCACAGGGCTATTTTTATCTCTATGGTTCAGTATTTTCTCAAGCAGCAACTTTAACTGCTA